GCCCCGCAAAAGCCTTTTAAACAAGGTTCTCTTGGTCTTTCAGTAAAAACTTCCTTTGAGAAATGCTGAAAGAGACTTGCCCTATAACTGACATCTGCTCTGTGTACTTACAGCAGTGTATTAAGGTCAATGCAAAAATAATGGATATGTGGTTTTTCATTTCAGTTTTGGAATGAGAGTGATGACACTCTGCTATTAATTTATCAGCCATAAAACTATTCAATTTGAACTAATCATTGAAAATGAATAACAGGGCCAATATTCATATTTTTACTCCCTATTAAAACAGAAAACATATACTTACAGATATTTTAGCAGAAGCATTTATTATATGATTTAATTACCCTTAAATCATGTTTTTGACAGTTACCAGTCCAATTAGCAAGTATGGAAAAGTTCTGATGGAAATAAATTTTTGTGCCAAATATTTTTCTTCATGTAAGCAACAAAAATTTGATAATAAGCCACCAAAATATCTGTTACTTTAAAACCTGAATATTTTTAACATAGCCTAGCGCTATCTCCAAAGCTTATTTCTGAAGAAAAAGAGAGGCTTATTTAGAGATAGGATACTTTTCTCCTCTTTAACACCTACACTGTTGATATCTTCTGAAAATTGCATAAATATATTATGTATCTTGCTTAAAACCCGCAACTGTTCATCCTTAATTGTCAATCAAAAATGCATCATGTGTCTATTTGCTTAGAACAATTTTGTTAGATAATGCAGAAGACCACAAGATAGCTATAGCTAGAGAATAACGTAGCCCTAAATTATTCAATTTCCCTTTAACTTTTATCTAATTTTGGTCTACAAAGAATTGAATACTTGCAAGATTTTTAATGCTGATATTCTAAGTAGATATTTGTGATGAGGGAATTAAAAGGCTTGGCAACTATAAGCTGAATGAGATTTTTAGATGATGAAATATTGCCTCCTTTGCAATGTGAAGTCACTCTTCTTTTCATCATATAATGTTCTTAGAATACACATGTGGGTTTATTGCTGACATCTGTACCTTACTGAAGTAGCTCAGAAATATTGTTCTTCCTATCTGGTAAATCAGGTAAAAACCTTTGGTTACCTTCACGTATCACTGTAAAAACTGTGTGGTGTGCAGTCATATGCCCATGAGTCTTTCTGCAATGTGCACATCATGATAAAGTTCTCAAACAAGCTGGATAATGCGAAATGACAGTGTAGACTATTTCTTCAAAATTACTAGCATGGCACTGTGTCATTGTGTTTTAGTCACCACTGTCCCCAGAGCAAACACGAAAAGGACTCATAAACCTTGTAAACACTGTGTCAGTGCTTGCAAGCACTCAGCATAATTTTTGCACTGCTTGGAAAACAATATTTTCTTGCTAAACAACTCACGTCTGACGTCTATCACTGCTCAGTGGATTTGGCGCAGGTTAGTGTCTCAGCTCATGAAGGAGGACTTGTTTTCCTCACTGCTGACAATAAACCTCAACCACGACCTGGAGAAATGCTGTGATTATAGATCTATAGTTCCTGGGGACAATTACTGCCTTTCGTGTTCCATTGTGTACATTTTTTTTTTCTAAGTATAAACATCCATCTCAAAATCATTCACCTTTAGCAACCTTAATTTAGTATAGAGACACAAGAACCATTGAGCAATCTTCAACATTTTCTATCTGAAATGAAATTAGTTAAGTATGAAGGAATCGGGATATGCTGTGTGCAGAAGCAGGAATTTGGGAATGGGTTTAAGAGATATCATTGTATTATGTTTATGAACCATGCCTCTTAAAAAAGATGCCACCCCGCACCCTTATCCACCAGTGTCTCTAATAGACTTCTCTCCACCTATGACCTCTCTTGACTCTACTCTCCCTGGTGCCTGGGACCCTCCCCCCCCCCCCGCCGGCAAGCATCTTCTCTTGCACAGTCCCATCTGTTTTAACTGTCACCTTCAGGATCCAAAGAGCCCTCTTGAACTTTGCCTTAAAGCTTCCCCTTTAGCTTTGACTTTCCAATGATTGTCTTTAGAGGAGACGATTTTAATCTGAAGATATTAAAATAAAAGATCCTATTTGTTAACAAGGAAAATATGCATCTAACCATCATCCCTCTCTGCCAGAGGAATTCTCTTTCTTACCTCTCTCCGAAGAATGCAGTGGACCATGACTATCACAAAACCTTGCAATGAATCAAACACGGCAAAAAGTATTTGGAACAATATGGAGCGTTTGTCTGTCATGGCTAGAACTGCAGACATCCACGTCAGAGCCAGAAGGGGCAACACCACGCAGGAACTCCAAAGAGACGCCCTGTTGAGAGAGAGAGAGCACTGTGACGGAGCCGCACGTCATGCCCCAGGCAATAACTAAGCCCCCGTTCAACAAAGCATTCTTGGATGTGGCACCAAGACCGTTCACTTGGAAACCATAAAGCAGATAACAGTGGATAGTTGTATTTATTTTTTTATAGCCAATCCCACACTAGTTATAAAGGCAGTTGCCAATTATAAATAGTTAAGTATGCTCTTAGCTCCAATAGTAGCAAACATGGTTTTTTTTTTTTTTTTTCCACAATAGCATTTTCTCACATGCACTGTAAAAGATTTGTCACGAGAAGATGTAAATGATTGGGACTAACATGGCGTTACTGGCGGTGGTGGCTGACAAAGCTGTTGTCGAAACTACTCCACACTTGGCACATTTGAGCGTCAAACCGCTATGAGGCTCACTCATCTGACTGCAAACAAACAGAACACCCACAAAAAGAACAAAATATTGAATTGTCACCAAAAAAAAAACACGTTGCTGCTGCAAGTTAGCTTTTAAATACGATTTCATGCAGAAAAGTTTATTTATCAAAGATGAATGCTCCAGGTTGTTTTAAAGATGCAATTACACTACACATTATTTTTGTAACATTTACCTTTTAACACGATGGGCCTTTGTTGCATGCAAAAGCATATTTCCATCAATTACATCCTAAATGGCCCGGTGTCTACAGTTCAAAATTATCCAGTACACTGAGTTAAACATAAGCATGTGCTTGTGTAGACATACAGTGAAAACCCTTTATTCAGACCCCTGGTTATCAAACACATCAGGACTCCTGGCTTCAAAGACTTTCATTGTCATTTGCAGAAGGCACGTGATATTAGTTAAAACCTTCTGAAATGTAAACATGTATATCAGAAGTCCAGTATAAGAAGATATATATTTTAGGTGTTTAATCATTTGTGGGAGATGTAGCCTTTATCTCAACAGATTCATATTTTGAAATTTCTCACAGCATCAATGTATTATCCACATTTTAGGATGATCTGAATATAGGGGCTGATGAAATTTGATGAAATATTAGTTTATAATAAAAGGGGTGATAGCTTAAGGCTTTAATAAAACACATTTAACATTAAGTTCAAAATATTCTTTCTGAACATTTTTTCATAAACTCCAGTTCAACAGCATTTACATGGTCTATTCTAGTCTGGAGGATTTTGCAGGTAAATTTAGATTCAAGTAACTCAGATTTAACCTACTATATCACAGAAGCAAAGTCATGCTACACAGAAAAACTTTGTGAACCCTTTACATTAGAAAAGAGTCCCTTGAAAATGACTGGTTTATTAGAACATAATGCTCTCATGAAAAACCAAAAAGAAATTACTTGAATCAAAGTTCAAAACATCTTGAAATAATTTTCTGTGGTATACTTCTCTTGTCCATTCTCTTGTGGTGCTAATGTCTAAAATATATGTTTTCCCAGTAGGCTTTTTCAAAATAATATTTAGTGGACAGGTAATGTAATAAAAGTGGCAGGACAGAGAAAAATCACAAGATGATCATAATTCAGAACGTCTGGTTTCTTCTAAAGAAGTGCACTCATTTGTGAATAGTGCTTGGATGAAATAATAAATCTGAAAGCTATTAAGTAGATTGATTGACCAGTAGACCCCAGGAGAAAAATCAAAGCTTTTAGAGTTCGATGTGGGGGTGGGAAACATGATACTAAATCATTCGTTTTACTGATTCAACCCAGGACCTGTGTCCTAGCACATGAGACCAAACTTTTCACAATAACAAGTAAGCAACGGTCTATCCAGTTGGATCATGAGTGCCTCAATGGACATGCCAGTGTGTCTGAAACTACTCTCAAAGGAGTGCCTATTTACAGCAGTGTTCTCCACAGTGGCTGCATATTAGATACATATACCCAACCCCAAAGACTCCAATTCAGTGGGGCTTAGGCATCTGGCCCCCCCCTTTTTTAAAGATATTTATTTATTTATTTATTTGGAAGGGGGGGGTAGGGGCAAAGGGGGAGGGGGAGGGTAAGAGAATCTCAAGCAGACTCCACTGGAGCCCACCGCGGGGCTCAATCTTTAGACCCTGAGATCATGACCTGGGCTAAAACCAAGAATCGGGTGCTTAACTGACTGAGCCACCTAGCTGCCCCGGGCATCTGTGTTTTTTAAAGCCCCAGAGATTATTCTGAGGAAAAGCAGGAATGCACACAACTGCCCTAACTACATATTTGAGTATCTTCAATTTTTTAAGTTCCATCAGATTAATATTAAAAAGGCATGACTGATCTATTGTTTCCTTTATCAGAGAAGATACGCTATTTGGTATTTGCGCTTTGAACACAAATGTGGCTATCTTTCTTAATTTAAGGACACTGTCTCTAGGCTCTAAAACAAGATTGAAAAGCCAAAGATGACTAAAAATTAATTTTAGTTTAGTACACAATATAAACAAGTATTTTAGCCCTAAGAAAAATGAATTTGATCTAGGTATGGGCTTTCCTGAAAATAAATATTAAGCCAGTATTTGAAATGCTTCTTTCTCTTTGAGATTGATTTGTGATTGACTGAAAGGCCTATACATACTTCCCTTAGTCAGAATTAACTGTTGAAAACTATGCTTGATGTTAACTAGTTGGACACTTTTGGAATTCTATTATTAGATGCATATGGAGTAGAGGAAAGATAGGTTACCAAGGGAGATAGGATATTCTCCCCTAGTTTGTATGAATGCTACAGAAATTAATATAGTATGAAGAACACACAGTCTAAATGCTAAACAGGGTTGCTGCAATGGGAAATAAAATTTAGTTCTTTGTTACAGGGGAAATTATATATATATAAAATAAAAAGTGCTAAGTTAAAAAAAATTGAATTTCCCATAAGTTCAAATGTTACCATATCTACCAGGGCACCAGGTTATTCTGTCTACTCCTGCAGGGTCTTGGAGTCTACAAGCTTCCCTTCCCAATTTTCTTTTTCTTTTGCTTAGGAAAAAAAAAAAATTATCTGATTGGTTCATTACTGATACTATGTAAAATCCCCTGAAAAGAAAATACTCCCTTTCCCTTTGGAAAAAATCTCACGATATTTGTATAAGACCCTGGTAGTTTCCTTAACTTCAGGTAGATGAGATAAAGCAATTTAAAATAGTAGATAAGAAAGTTCCATTGTAAAAAAAGAGAAAAAAAAAATGAAATATCCTGCTTGAGATATATGTTAACAAGGAAAATATTCATATTTGAATAAACATGCCATTTTATCTTTTCATTCTTTCCAATTATTTTGCATAAGATATATTAATGGCAATCAATCCCTCTTTGGTAAATATATGTCATGTATTAGAAAAACTTAATATAATTTGGGTATTAAAAACTTGTCAAGCTATTGTGTATTTCTTAAATATTCATTTACTCATTCTTTTATAAATATTTATTGAACATAAACTATTGCTTGGCAGTTTCTAATAATTATAAAAAGGAGGAAACAGGAACAATAAAATGGGAATAGGAACATACTGGTTCTAAATAATAAACAATATTTCAAAAAACACTTGATATCTACATATTTCCAATGTGAAATGGTCAATATTTATAACTAGGAACATCAATTGTTAATTAGCTTCTTGCTCAGTGCTTCTTTAGTTAATTCTAACTATTTGTTGTTCACTGAAATCTTTATGACTGTCCTCACTGATTCTCCGCAAACTAAAATTAGCTTCAGATACTTCTACAAAATTTCCTTCAATCACACTTGGAAATAGCAAATTTCAATCTATACACACTTAGGCAAAAACTGCATTTTATATTATAGAAAAAAGTTCTTAAAATCTAGAATCATTAACTTGTTGATAATTCTTTTCCACTTTGAACAGTAACCAGCATTCTGCTTTTATAACACATATTAAAAACATTTCTATTTCTCCAACGGAGGCCTCTGAACTAGAAAAACACAGATTCAATTTTGCCAGTAAAACAGATGTAACTTCTAATAACATTTTCATAAATAGATATTTTAAAATTAATATGTAGATTAAAGTGAATAATTTCTAAATTCATAATATGACAATTTTGTCATTCTCTTAAACGTATCTTTTACAAAGAGCTATGTAAATCAAACCAGATCTTACACTTAAAATGATTAAATGAGAAAAAAATACTGACTGTAAATTTAATACATCCTTAGCATTATACTCATTCTGATGATCCCATCTCTCTCTCTCTTTTTTTTTTTTTTTTGACCTTAATGTCATGAATGGCAGAATCACAGATGCTTGACTGATAGAAGTCAGGGTCATTTGAAAACAATCTATTTTCTTCATTTAATGCATCCTAACAATAGCCACCATTTGTTGAATGAGTGTTTGCTCTTTGCTATTCTAATGAATCCTCTGTACACATTGTATTTCATACACTCTATTATGAGGCAAAAATCATTATCCTCATTTTACAGGTGAGAAGACTGAACTCCAGAATAACTACCTAACATGCCCAAAGACACACATAGCCAGTAAATTGCAGAGCTATTTTGAGTATGGCTTTGTTCAAAAATATTTTTTACTTCAAGGCTTTATCCTAACCAATAAACCTCTACCCCTCCAATTAAAAAAAGATGTGTGTGCGTATGTGTGTGTAGGTGTGTATGTGTGTGTATGTGCGTGTACGTGTGTGTGTGTGTGTATACACACAGACACACGAGTTTATGTCTAGTGGCAGAACCGAGGTTCTATACCCCGTATTCAGTATGATGGATTTATTCTTACATGATTAATCTGGACAGAAATATTGAAGCTGTTGTTCCAATTCCAACCATACACGGCAGACTAACAAGAATAAGAATGTGAAAGCTTCAAGTTCAAATGGTATAGAAAGCTCAGTGTCTGTGCAAGTTCAAGTTTACCTAGTTAAAGATGCTATGAAGACTCACCTAAAGTGAAAAAAAGTCTCTAGGTGGGAAGTGATGCCCCCCTTTTTTCCAATGATGTTCTGATTACACCACTACAGCTCTAAAGGTTGATATGAATGATTCCAAATTTTTATATTCAAAGCATTTTACTCGTCTTTGACTAGGGGGAACAATACCTAGATTACCTTACTATATAAATCATTACATAGATTACAGAAACATAAAGGACTTAAAATTCTTACTGGTCAGTGATCAAATACTGTGACTATTAAATAGTAACATAAGTTATTAAAGAAATAGCAATTGTAGGTAAGTTTTGAATGAAAGTACAAAGAGAAAGGATAAAGCTATAAAGTTTTCATAAGAAAAGATACAAAGGGAAATTCAAAAGCATTAATATTTCACTCAAATTTCTACAAATTTATATAATGAGGTGAGCATGTAACCTTACAGTAAAAGCTGCTATCAACCTGCTTATGAAATGTTATTAGTCATTAAATGTGGTGATATCATAATGACAGTAATTAAAAGAGATGCTTTTCTAAATTTTGTAAGTGGTTCAAATGTGCAAGTGAAAATTATGAATAAGTCTTCCTAGCAAGTTATAGTCAAAACATCATAAAGAATGAAAATATACGACAAGAATGGTGTTTCATAAGTGATTATTTCATGTGAAGAAATTTTCTGAAATATACGATTAATCAAAGAAAATGCAGTGTTTTTGCCCTAGTAGAGCTTGCTTGTCTTGATTCAGTGGTGTCACACACTGACATGTTCAGCCTACTATCCCGTCCTTTGTGACCCAAACTAGGGGGCCTTGCTCACCTAAGAATAAGTATTTTTATACTGATTCAAAGGGGCACAGGCACCCAATGTTTAAAGCAGCATTGTCAACAAGAACCAAATTATGGAAAGAGCCCAAATGTCCATCAACCGATGAATGGATAAAGAAGATACACACACACATACGCACACACAGTGGACTACTACTTAGTTATAAAAAAGAATGCACTCTTGCCATTTGCAATGAGATGGATGGAGCTAGAGTGTATTACACTAAGCAAACTAAGTCAGTCAGAAAGACAAATACTAATTCACTCATATGTGGAATTTAAGAAACAAAACAAATGGACACAGGGAAAGGAAGGAAAAAGAGAGAGAGAGAGAGAGAGGGGTAAACCCTAAGAGACTCCTAACTATTGAGAACTGAGGGTTGCTCGAGGGGAGGTGGGTGGGGGATGGGCTAACTGGGTGATGGGCATTAAGGAGGGCACTTGTGATGAGCATTGGGTGTTATATGTCAAATGATGAATCATTAAATTCTACTCCTGAAACCAATATTACACTGTATGTTAACTAAGAATTTAAACAAAAACTTGAAAAAAAAATAACATTTTAAGTCCAGTCTTAACATTTAATCTTCTTATCTTACAAACAGGCAATATGCACAAACAAATCCAGACTTTCTTAATGGTCTTTCAAATTATTTTTAGATATTGGTCGCATTACTTAAGAACAGCACATTGAAAACTTGAATGGCAGAATCTACCAGACACGCTGGTTCATCAGGATCAAAATTCAAGGCACAGTTAAAATGCAGTCAATGATGATCTGGAATTGGAGTATGGGATTCACTGGTAAAGAACCTTCAAAATCCACCAATTGCAGCTTACCCGGCTCTGTGTTTGAGCTTTTTATCTAGGATCCCATCTCTGGAAACAAGTTTATTAAATACCAAAATGCCAATCACCATGTTGACCTGTCAAACAGAAACAAAGGTTGACCTTTCAATGATATTGGAGGGAATCAGGTCCCCTTTTCTCCTGAAAACCCTCTTTTATTAATAACCATTTCTGAATTCTGAACTCACAATAGTGATATAAAGCACCTATCAAATATTTTATAAGTGCACAATGAAACAGAACAATTTAACAGTGGTGTGTTACTTTAAAGTTTTAAAGTACAGTAAGTACATTTAATTTCCATGCTTTGCAGTTAACACTGAGGAAATTACCATTTAATTGTCTAACTTGTAAACGGTGCCATACTATACCATCTGGCATTCTAAGTCACCCCTGACTAAAATCAATTGGCCAAATGAGTTTTACCCTAGGAGAGTCAAAAGATTTTGTCTCACAGTGTGAGACTAGGTTGCACCCAGGCAGGCAAAGGTGTTAAGGATTTGTCATTGTCCCCAGCAATGAGAACAGAATGCCTACATTCCTGAGGTGGTGTGGCTATTTCTCCTGTGGGTGGAGCACATTTTGATGTACCATGCTTTTCTAGAAAAGGGAAAGCCTATTCAACTCACCAGAATCCCTTAAGAGATGGACACTAACACCAGTTCTTATAATGTGCTCTACTGAACACTTCTCAGCATTTTCTAAGACTCTCTTACTCTCACTTAAAAGGTCTTTTGCATAATACATCTGAAATGAAATCACACATATTTTTCTTTCTCAAGTAAAATTGTAAAAAGCTGTAGAGATAGCTGTGGTCTATTTGTAGCAGCTTATTATGATAAGCACCCACAGTTCTCTAACCTACCAGCACTTCCTGATAAAGGAATCCAGTCCAACGCTGAAACAAGATAATCAAGGAAAAATATTTTCTTCTTTTTGCCTTCCTGCCCCTTACCCTCCATGATCAACAGAATCTCAGTGCATCCCCCAATGCAAATGGTGAAGCCTTTACATCGAAACTAGCAGTTCACAAAAATCTGTTTTAAACAGGATGACTAGTTTAAAAAAAAAAAAAAAAAAAAGGAAAGAAAATTCCATTTCCCCAGCACATTGGCCAGATAAAATATAAAGCTGAAATCTGTTTAACTACTGGTGTAAGGAAGATTCAAAGCAACTGTTAGGTAGGGACTTAGGAGTTGTCACTCTTCATAGCTTCCCTGGCAAGATACCATTTGATCAAAAGAAAGACTTACTCATCTTCATATTTCTCATCCTCATATTTCTCTTCATAATTATATGAACTAAGAGAAAAAAGTGTATTTTGTGGATTCTATTAATCTACAATTTAATCATGAGGGAATCCATCACTACTCCAAAGACCATACTTTGGTTTTTCAATTACACACATAACTCTTTGTTTCTCCATTTTAGGGTTATATGTATATTAACTTAGTAGCTTAGGGAAATAATTCAATTGATTAAAAAAGATTTCAATGCAGCAGACAAAAATGTGTCTAACAGTTTCAATTTCCCTATGCTTTTCTCTAACACTCATGCCTAGATTTTTTCTTGTGAATCATGCAGTTTCTGCTCCCTGTTATAGTTTAGAGGAGGGAGAGCAAACTTTAAAGAAAGAAAATGTTGTACAGAGTTATTAAGAAAGATACAGCTAGCTTCTAATTTACTGAATGAATTGTTCAAGAAACCAAAGGGTAATTTTCCAATTAGAACTCTAATTGCACAGCAATGTGGATCTTTGTACTAATTCAGACCATTTCCCCCCTTACATTTTCATTTAAAGATTTATTAGACCAGAAAGATTTGTAATTAATAATATCAGAGTGAGAGAAAGAAAGGAAAATTGGTAGAAAATTTTCATGTTCCCATGATTCCAAAAAGAAACATTTTAAATCCTTATGCATAAAATATGGCAGGGGCTCTCAACTGGGGGTTATTTTTGTCCACAGGGAATATTGGGAAATGTCTGGAGACATTGTTGATTTTTACCGACTTGACGTTCCTACTGGTCTAGTAGGTAGAGCCCAAGGATGCTGCTAAACATCCTAAAATATAGAGGACAGCCCCACGACAAAGAAATATCTTGTCCAAAATGTCTGTGGCACTGAGGCTGAGAAACTCTGACATTTGGACATGTATTTTCTTGTTGATATTTGCTAGCAGGCAGCAGTTATCAAGATTAAGAGATCTTAACAACGATGTAGATCATACAGAATAGTATAAGGTGATATAATAAAGGGTCAAATTCTGTACATTAACAAGGAAGAATTTGTTGAAACTTACTCGAACTTCTTCACAAATGTGAAATTACTGTAAGAGAAATCCCACACTCCCACGTTTAATAGTCTTCAGTCTTCAAAATAAGAATATTTTAGAGTAATAAGGGTCTAAATAGCAGTTGATATTCAAATTTAAGTAATAACTGATAATTAAGTAATAATACATTGAACTCTAAAATTTCTACACAACAAATACAAAACCATCACTCTAACTGAAGCAAAGTAGGCTTTCTCGGCTAAGAAAACAAACAAAAGTAGTTGATTTTGATGTTTACCAGGACAACAGCGGCTGCAGGTCCAACAAAAGCGTAGAGCAGTCCTCCTTCAAGAGAGAGCCAGCAGCTAAAAATAACATCAGATAAAAACTAACAAAAATTAGTGATAAGTGTTAAACCACTGAAGTATGATATAAATTACTTGAATATGTATGTACTTAGTGCTCGAATTTTGGCACATTTCAAAGGCTCGTAATTAAACAAAGAGGCATTAGGAGATGTGGAAAAAACTAAAATTAGAGCATTTCATGTGTGAGAAATACTATATACCTTTCACAGAAAAGAAACTTTTAATATAAGGCCTTACTTTCAGGCAGTTAAAACATTTTAGACAAATTACTCTTGCAGTGCGATTTTTATATTGACTTTCAGTACAAAGGTGACTATTACATAATTTTGTAAAATGCTGCTTTATATCCATTATGAAAATTTTCAAATACTCTTTTAAGCAAGAACAGCATGCTTTTAGAGTCTTGCATATGTCATTTATGGGTTCTTCCTTGAGGCCACTGAGATATTGGGAGAAATTGGTTTAAAAGCCATCATTGCAGAGAATGGATAATCTATATTTTGTACACTTTTTTTTCCTTCTGATTTTACTTTTGCCCCAGACTACTAAGCCAATTCACTAAAGGTAAGCTTTTGAATAAAAATAAGCGCAGCTGTGTTTATTTCAATTACTCAATTCACCAAGAGATGCAGGTTTACATTGCTAGAGAGATGGTAGAGACCTGGTAACCCATTTGAGTAAGAACGTTTGTTTTCTCACAGGAGAGGGCCATGAAGAGGACATGGGGCTTGACCCTGGAGGCTTCGTAAGGTGGCCCATCTGCGTGTGCAGAGTCCAGGAGAGTCAATATAAGGAAAATACCAGGAAATGTTTTATTTCTGCTGATGCAATGAATCATGCCCGCTATTTCATGCACCTGTTTTTGACATTTGACCCTGTCAATATTACTTTAAGTCCACAGAATCAACATGCTGCCTCCAAAATTAACCACCACTAACAATAACTGTTCTGTATCTGTTCTAAGAATACACTTTTCTATATTGGTTGTGGTGGTGGTTACCTGACTTAGGCATTTGTTAAAGCCAACAGAACTATACACTGAACAGGGTGAATGTTACTCTGCATAAATTATATCTTAATTAAAAATTTTAACCTAGTAACCTTACCCATACAGACATGCCAATACATGTATCAATTTATACATAACACAAATGTGTCTGTCTGTGTGTATTCAAAGTCTGCTTTTACTTATTTCTCCTTGCCATAGGAATGGACACATAAAATTCTACTTTCCCACTTTGGGGTTGATAATTTAGTATCTATTTTTTAAATGAAATAACTAGAGAAAAAGCCTTTAGTCTGATGCAACACTTTAGTCGGTATCCCTTAGACTGCCACTACATTTCTACTATATTTTTGTGCAAGGTAATCTTCAAACTGATACATGCATTACTCATTATATTGTATTCCGTCTTAATCACAAACTCCTTGAAAGTTGGAACCGTATCATCCATAATCCTATCTCTTTCTACATCCCCAATACAGTGCCTTTCAAATACTGGGTTTTACCAAAGAGTCATACTGTTGTAAAAAGTAATGGCTTAAAGGTAATAGCGCTGTAGTAAGCCCTACTCTACAACAGAGATGACTGGGGAGTTTTGCCTGTTTGTGTGTTCACATAATATAGACTGCAGAAGAAAAACAAGTGTTCTAATGATACGAGTTCTGTAAACTCTTCGGAAATTTCTTTTGGATGGGCAGGTGACATGAGGTGTCTTGGCACAATCTCCATTTGGATGAACCCACCAGAAGGTCTAATTAGTGGTAATTCCTATCTCAAACCTGAAGACGAACCAAAAATCTCACTTTAAAAATTTATGCTTCTAATAAGATGTGCACATCTCTTTCTCCATTTCTCAACTGCCTCCTCAGCTTGAAAGAGCAGATGAAGTAAAATATGAAAGTGTATTGTTTTACATTTTAAATGTTAAACATAAAGCTTACTTATAAAATCTCTCACAGAATTTATCAGTATTACAGCTGTGATTAGGATGGGCTGATACCATACCCTATTTCTTCCCTCTAATTTCTCCCATAGCCTAGGCATTTTCTAACATGTATTCTACTGATTCTCCTGATCTGCAAGTTTTAGTATTACCTTAACATGGCAACAAAACCTGAACTAACATGACACAACTTGGTTGATACCAATATATATTATCATTAGTGAAATCAGAAGCTCAGAGCAGAATCATATTCTAAAAGGTAAACACCAAGGTTTATTCAGTTCTAAAAAAATGTATTTGAGATTAAACACACAAAGTAAATATTGAAACATTTTGAAATGCACTGGTCTTATGAAGCAATGGGAAACCGAAACAAGGATTCTGCACAGGGCTTCGGCATTTACTTCCTAACCTCTGTGCATTTAAGCTCCCTTACATCATTCCACACTAATATGATTTCTACCATAGTTAATGACTCAGGGACAAAATGCAAGCCATCAGCAGTGCCAACCAAGATTAATGAAGCATAGATGATGATTTATGATTTATCACTGTGGATGGACTTACTAGTGGTCAGTGCCATATCCTTTCGTCCTCGTGAAGCCTACTGATGTGGCCACTACTAATGCTGGTAAACCTGCAAGAGAAGCATTGTCACACTTCACATTCAGCCGTAACCACTGTGCACTCTGGCTCAAGCAAAGCTAGGACAGAGTCAAAATGCTTACATTGAAGGAACTACCATTGCATTAATTCTTTCAATAAAGTATGTTTCCATTACAAAATTTCTTTCAAGTACAAAAATATGAGGGCGACAGCTGGTCTTTTAACTCAATGCACTTCTCTAATGTTGCTAGGTTACCACCACATTTGACATGGGTTTAAAGGAAACTAATAACAAAGATTTAGTATATCTTTTATTTTTTCCCTAGGGGTTTACACTGTTATAAAGGAAATTTGTAGTTATAAAATCAGACAGGCAAAAAATGGATATTCTGCTCTGATGGAATATCACAGAAGTGGGACATTCAGTTGGCCCCATATTGATCCACATCCAGTTGTACTTAGAAAAAAATAAATTATATCACATAATTCATTCTTTATGATTTACTTATAATAACAAGAATGTAGGATCAAGGTTAAGGGCCCGAAGAAATTAATTTTGGGGCCTCCTGATTATCCTCCTTTTAACAATCCTGAACGAAATTCAGAAAATATATGACAGTTTCTCTTCATGGACTTCTAGGTAGGCATCTCTCCACACATTCATCAGTCCCTCTTAGCATTCAATTGCCTGCATACCTGTGCCAATTTCGACCTAACATCTTTTAGTTTATATTTATAGGAATCACACTCTCCTTATTCAAGTTCAGTGGAACATCCCTGTGTTTTGGTGAACAGAGCTCAGTCTAATCTATGCTGTTTAATTCTTTTTTTTTTTTTTTTTAATTTTGATCATGACTTCTTTTCAGTAAGATGATGTTTGCCTTTCCAGGTAGAAAAATCCATCATCTAATCACCTCCTTGAGTCCCCTCCACCAATCTTCTTTCTTCCTATCATTTCCCCTCCTTCCCGCTATTCTCTTCTGTCTTTTCAAGTGACATAACATTCCTTCATGAAGTTTAAAACTATGAGAAGCATCTTAGAGGGACACATCATATTTTTAAACAGATATGCATCTCCCCCCACCCTGTATACACACGTGTGTGTGTGTGTATATGTGTGTGTGTGTGTGTGTGTGTGTGTATAGAGAGAGAGAGTTGACTTTTTGATTGACTAGACCAAGTCATGAGAAAAAATTCTCTCCTGGGTCATAGTTAAAGCATTAATAATCTTCATTCGGTACAATTTAGATTATTTTTTTCTAAATTTATTATGTTGCACTTTGCTATAATGAAATTCATATGACACTAATCCACCAACTCAGACTTCCTGATAGTCTAGCACCATCGGCTTAGCTTTTTTGCTTCCCGAGTAGTTTAATATTATCTGTAAACTTGGAGACCAGCTGTGAGCCCTCTCCTCAAGATCTTTGGTAATGGTGTTATTAAATAGCTAGTTACCAATCCAGAAAATCGCCATTCTTTATACTTAGGGGAAGTCACTTACCTGGATTCTATATTTCTTGGATCTATGGCACTAAGTCATGAAAAAAGTGTTCCTGATTCAATACCAGTCTATCTTTAGAAGGTCTTTGACATGAAATCCAGACAAAAGTTTTATGAAAGTGTAAGTAGAATACATTCTCCAATTTCTTCTTCTTTTTTTTTTTTATTTTTTAAAGATTTTATTTATTTATTTATTTGAGACAGAGAGAATGAGAGAGAGAGAGAGAGCACATGAGAGGGGGGAGGGTCAGAGGCAGAAGCAGGCTCCCTGCCGAGCAGGGAGCCCGATGCGGGACTCGATCCAGGGACTCCAGGATCATGACCTGAGCCGAAGGCAGTCGCTTAACCAACTGAGCCACCCAGGCGCCCTTCTCCAATTTCTTCTTAATGGCTTTCCCATTGGCCTGTGCAAAGAGCCCTAATGTATTAATCACACATGACAGAACCTTGCTGAAACCTGATGGATAATCTTTAAGTGATCTGGATCCTACTTTTTCCAGTATGAATTATTCTTTTATCGTAATAAGTCCACTTACTTGTAATTTTTTCAGACTCCATCAAACATCCTATTCTCTAGTCTTCTGGTATATTAGGTATTTTTTATGTATTTGACCCAAAATTCCCCATTTTTTTAGTTCGAGTCTTTTGAAACTCAAAGGCAAACATGACAGAATCCTGAGGTTTTCTGAAACTAGTTTCTTAAATTAATTAAACTAATTCTAATTAAACTAAGCTAATTAATTCTAATTAAACATTAGAATTGGCCTTATGAAAAACCCAGATCTTCAAGATGTCCATTTCATAAGGCAATTTGAGAGAAACTTTTCCTAATAAAGATAAGCAAATAATTAATTCTCAGTCTGTCAACAATTCTGTTTCTCTGACTAGCTGTGAGGTTTAATTCATTCTCTACATGACTTTCTTCCTGTGGCATGAATAGCTGTAGTCCTTAATTGCTTTGAGCTCTCTTGGAAGGGACTTCTCGAAGTTTTCTTATGGGGAGTACATGACTAGTGAACATGACAAGTACCTGTTTTGAGCCCTGAACATTTTAGAGCATTTTGCATTTTCAGGACATATTAGCAGAGAACACTTTGCTTTTCTTACACCACTGCTTAACTGACTGGCTACGGGTCATCCAGTATTTACTCCTTTTTAAAACTCCAAATGCCCAAAGAATGTTAAAAAATGACCATATATATATTCCATATATCCAACTGAACACAAAGAAAAGTAGCCTGGGGATAATCACACTCTACAGCTTCATTATGTGTTCAAAGCCATCTTAACAAGAGCACAAAAGGGTATATTAATATGCTTACCCCATCCAAGGCACAAGAAACGTTTCCTTATAAGCCGTGTCCTAATTTTTCCAGTTACAGCCATATATGACTGCCACGCCTCAGTCAAAACCCAACAGAATGAAGCCAGGAAGAAAAAGTGCAAAAATGCAGTGGTGGTTGTGCAGATGCTCTGTGGAAACAAAAAAGACTCACACTGAATATGGGGGGGGGGGGGTCATCATGTGTCCTCCAGGGGATTGTTAATCTTCAACTCATTGCTTTCATTTCAAATATCTACCTCTCCTGTGTGACAGAGTAATTATTTACAGAACTGAGAAACCCTGCAGTCTTTATGCTGTGTACAATATCTATGATAGGAAAAAAAATACGTCCTAATTCCATTTGCATGTTCAATTTCTTATGAGGAGAAGCCTGAATGTAAATTAAAACCCAAGGGAGATTACAATTACTACTTTACTTGAAATGTAATTATGGGAATGGTCCTATCTTTGGTTTAATTTAAGTTACAGACATCTTGCATAATTCTTTTGGCTACATTCTTTATCCTTCCATTTTAGCTGATAATTCTTTGTTGTTTTATCTGTATTGATGTTAAGATTACACCCCAACAGCCATCCAAAAGGAAAAACTACTTTTATACAAATGTGATATTCCTGGTGTAAGACCAAAGTATAAAATGAGATTTGGCTAACAGCCAAAATACAAAAATAACATATGTATTTTAAAGTCCTTAATACACTGTTCTGTATTATTACATTACAATGTGTGTCCTAATCAAATCATTTTGAAAAGTTAATCAAGTCACTAGCAGTACACAGCCATGATTTCACAGATATTTTACTTGATGCAACTTAATCATTCTGAACATGCTAACCATTAGTTACTTGTGACTCCTCCGCGAAGGGGAGAACCTTCATTTTGGTAAGGGCTGCTACTTATTTGACTACTGGTATAATGTCTTTGTGTAAATCTTGTTCAAATGCAAGTCTTCATCAATCAGAACCAGTAACTAAACTACCCTCTTCCTCTGTCAGTCTCTGTCTTGCTATTTCCAGAAATTGAAAAGAGCAAACACAGAATTAGAAAAAAAAAAAAAACACAACTCATTAACAGAGAAATAAAAGTACAACCCCCATCTTCTCGCCTCCACTCCAGTATACTGCTAAGGCAGAATATCTTTTTAAAATTTTGGCCCAAATTATTCCTATTATTTGTTTATTCTGCTGAAATTTACCAGATGTTAATTTAGCTTTGTAGTTCTTTCCATCCTATAAAAAGAACTTTACCATGTTTATCTCACCAGCTTTTTTTTAAAAATGTTCAGAGATAATGTACAGAAGCTGAATAGCCCTGTGCTAGGCATATAGCATGTACTTCAACTGATTATGACCATAATCATCATTATTTTAAAAATAGTACTAAAAAAAGTGTTGCTGGTTTTCGGCATATGATTCCTTGTTTCATGTAGCACTTAAATATACTTAGTTACTTAGACTTATTCTCACAAACATGGCAACTTTCAGTATGATAAAGTCATGGAGTTCTAAAACCTTCTTCCTTATACCTTTATTCCTGCTTCAGGCATAATGTAGCTTTAACGAACTGTAATTCCTCCTGTACTCGAGACATTCAGACTTTTCTTCCAAGTTAAGTTTTAAATAACTGCAGCTGACTACTTTGCTCACTCCTGATCTGCAGTTCCTGATCCCAATTTGAATTTCAAAGATAACTCTTCCCTTTAATACCTGAAGACTAGTTACACTTTCTAATTCACCTGTCATTTCCTTCCACCAGTTTGTCTCACCCCAACTGTATGTGCTAGCAAAATTATTCCTTCTCCATTTTTAAACTTTCAGTATAAGGTTATATAAAACAATGTAAAAATGTTGAAATGTTAAAAGTTAAGTACTGGATGCACTGCAATTTTGTAAGAAATAATAAAATGCTCAATGTGTCAATACAGACTTTTAATTTGCTCTTTATTATGTTTGTTGCCTTGGGACTTCCTGATAACGTACTTTAATTTTAATAAAAATTGAAATACATCTAATTTGGGACTACTGACATTTATTTCAATAATTCATATCTCTCTGGACAAGAATATGGCCACAATGTGTGGAAAAAAGTATAGAATCTAGAGAAGTAAGAACCATTTCTATGAGCAATAGCATTCTACTATGATGAGATGAATATTCATATATATCTAGAAAGTGCTCTAACTATGAAGGAAAGCTGTCTCAACCTAAAGAATGTGTATATATGGACTAAAGTGGTCTAAAGTCACAAAACTAATCTTACATAAAGAGTATAACAAAATATATATTCCTGAAAAATAAAGGGAGATACATTTTACCTCATTATCATATGAAGAATCAGTATAAAATAATGAAACATACACAATTTTTCTACTGATATATTTGTTAAGCTGTCTTTTAAAAATACAAGTTATATAATAGCAATTTCCAAATAAACTCTTTTATTTTCCACATTTGTCATCTCAGTTTCCACAAGGGTGGCTATTCTAATGTACAGGGCTCAAGATTCTTTCATTTCTTCTCCCACATAACCTAAATCCCACATCAGCAACCCACAAAGATAAACCATCCCTTGGGTCCCCTCAGTACTAGAGATTTTTACACTTATAAATCTCAAACTCTGATTCACTTTTTCTATAAACAGGTTTATATCTTGTAATTTGTTTAATTTTCCAACTACTGGACTCACTGTCATGACCTCCAGATTTACAGTTTCTCCTTATTCACATGTGTCTACTTTTGACTCCCACAATAGCTGAGTCTTTTTTTTTTTTTTTTTGGTCAGAGAGAGAGAGTGAGAAAGAGACAGAGCACAAGCAGGCAGAGCAGGCAGAGGGAGAAGCAGACTCCCCGCTGAGCAAGGAGCCCGATGCGGGGCTCGATCCCAGAACCCTGGGTTCATGACCTGAGCCAAAGGCAGATGCTTAACTGACTGAGCCACCAGGCATCCCAACACAACAGCTGAGTCTTGACAGCTTGCCATTTCAAACCTGAGACTCACTAGCACCTCAAGCACATCATTCAATTCTTCTGTTACACCTGCCTTGCTGAACCTCAGTTTGGTCCTTTACAACTGATGAGCGTTGTTGACAGATATTACAAAACTTGAAAGGGTATGAACTTGGCAAACTGAGCACTGCTCCTACCTGTCACCCTCATGCATACCATTCACCCCAAATCCTTAGGGGCAACAGAAAAAGATTTCATGAAATAACTGGAAAGAAAATAAGTATAAACTGTAGTAGATTAGAGACTGTGAGAAATGCCTGAAAAACAAAACAGATGAGTACAGACTGAAGGATACCCCAGCTCAAAGCAAGGTATTAGAGATGAAGACATGGAAATAGGGGATTAAGATACATGGATGACACACAGTTCTAACATCTGTTTGAAACTACTTTCGGAAGGAAAAAATAGAGAAAATTTCAAGGAAAGGCAGCATTTAAAGAAAGATTATGGAAAAGCTTGTCAGAACGTCAAAGATCCTCTGGGCTTAAGGATAAATTGAAGATAAAACACACACACACACACACACACACACCTCTCAATATGTTGTGATGAAATTTGTGAACATCAAGAATAAAAAGAAAATCTTAAAAGCTGTCAGAGTCAAAAGAAGGATTACTTACAAAGAAATAAGAATCAAATTGACATCAGATTCCTTGTGAGCAACCCAGGATATAAGAAGACAGTAGAATAATATCTTTAGCATTCTAAGGGAAAATAACTTTGAAGATAGAATTCTATACCCACCAAAACTATTATTCAAGTGAGAGGCAGAAATAAAGGTATTTTTAGAATTAAAGGAACTTTGAAGTTTACTACCTCAGGATTCTCTCTGAAAGAACTGCTAGACAATATAAACCAATAATAAGAAGAAGAAATCCAGGAGGAGGGAATGAGATAAAAGACATAACGGATAGCAAAGAGAGTAATAAAATACATCAAGTCTACATAAATGTTTATTTAAAAGCTTAAATATACATATTTTAATTTTTAAAATAGAACCACTTAAATATAAAATTCAAAATAATATAAATGAGGTGAGAGAAATGAAAGTTGCAAAGGATCAGGAGAAAATAAAAGTATGCTAAGCCTTTTGGTTATTGTTCTTCTGAGGAATATTAGAGATACTAATTAGCTCTAGATGTTAGAAAAATATGTTTGAACATGCATATTAACAATGCTAAGGTAACCACAAAAGGTAGAAACAAATAATGTATTTTATAAGATAGTAGAGGAAAAATAGAACGAAAGAAAAAATTTATCAGCCTAACTAATGGAAGGCAAAGGGACAAAAATAAACGAGAACATATGATAAATGAAAAAAAAATAACAAAAATAATTCCAAACATATCAGAAATTATAGAAATGGAAATGTTTTAAATTCATTAAAAGTTAAGAACTTTTATATTGAATAAAAAAATCAAAATCTAGTAATGTATTTATGAGCCATATCTCAAACTCAATGACACAGGGAAATTAGGAATAAAGAGATGAAAAGAGCTGTATTAAGCAAATGCTAACATGAAAAAATCAGATGTCACAACGTTAATGTTGAAAAAAAAGCATTAAAAGAGATGAAGGACTTTTCATCCTGATAAAAGAAGCAGGTCATAAAGAAGTTTCCAAAGGAACACGTCTTTATGAAACTAATAAGAATTTTTCAAAGTATGTGAAACAAAAACTGAGAAAACTACAAGAATAAACTGTCAAAACTAAGTTTATAATGAAAGACTTAATATGCAGCTCTCAGAAAGTCACAGGAAATTTGGGCTTTTTCCATTGTTCGGCTATTGTTGAAAATGCTGCTATAAACATCCGGATGCATGTACCCCTCTGAATTAGTATTTTTGTATCTTTTGGGTAAATACCTAGTAGTGCAATTGCTGGATCCCAAATGTCCATTGACTAATGAATGGATAAAGAAGTGGTATATAGTGGAATATTACTCAGCCATAAAAAAGAATGAAATCTTGCCATTTGCAAAGACATGGATGGAGCTGATGAGTATTATACTAAGCAAAATAAGTCAGTCAGAGAAAGACAAATACCATATGATTTTACTCATATGTGGAATTTAAGAAACAAAACAAATGATCATAGGGGAAAAAAAAGAGAGGCAAACCAAGAA